CTTTATCTGACACTAAAGCTCGCTAGTCTGGAAGATCTTGGGTTTGATTCCAGCACTGGACGAGACGTTTGAGCAAGTTTCCTCACACCTAATTTCTCTGTTCACCTAGCAGTAAATAAGTTCCTGGGAGTTAGACAACTGTTGTGGGTTGCATTTTGGCAAAGGCCAATAGTTGGTCTAGGGGACCTCGATAAGCGAGACGATAAGAAACCAAAATGACACTGACGGATAAAAGTAAGTGTAGAGGACTGGACCTGGATTGATTGATTGATTGTTGCCGGAGACGGCTAGTTTATTGTGCACCCCATATCCATCCTGTGAGCGGTAGCGCAAAAACATTACAGAGGGCACAAAAGGTCTTTATCAGACCTCATCTTAGATTATTACGTAAACAATTTTATCTATCCTTCACACCATATAGTTACAATGTCAGCTAGTTAGCAGTAAAATAGGTACCTGGGTAGCAGTAAAATAGGTACCTGGGTGTTATTCAGCTGTCACGGCTGCTTCCTGGGGGTGGAGGCCTGGTCGAGGACCGGGCCGCGGGGACACTAAAGCCCCGAAATCATCTCAAGATAACCTCAAGATAGTTACAGAGAAAGTGCTATTTCAAGAGCTACATATTTACAGTAAGTCTTTATACATTAATGGTGGGTAAAAAGTAACTGTAGAATACTGGACCTGGTGACACTCTTTCCTTAGTGACGTTTGTGGTGCTGGTTGTAGTGGTGGTGGGGGTTGTAGTGGGGCAAGTAGGCTGGTGGCTGAGGGAGAGGTAGGAAGTGGTTGAGGGGGGAGGTAAGTAGTGGTGGCGGGGGTCGCTGGCCACCGCGACTTTGAATTTACTGTTACAGGAGGACCAGATGCTGGAGCGCCTCTCGCTGTCCTGCTGTGTACGTGTGTGTGTATACTCCCTAAATGTGCTTGCTGGGTCGTGCGTCAGCTGAAGTCCGCCTCCCGACCATCACTAGTTCAATAGTCATTATTCACTAGTTTTTCTTACCCTTGTAAGAAAAGTAGTAATTGTCGATGCCAATTCGTCTAATTCTCTTTATTTAAGACTTTAGCTGAAGTTTTTAAAATATTTATCTGACTCGTTTGTCTCCAGTTTTCATGTAGCCTACCTTAACTCCCTTGGTTATGTTGTTCCTCGCTTTGAACACGACTTTTGTCTACTTACTCAGTTTCCCTTAGAATCGTGTAGCCTGTGTTCAAGAGTAGTTCAGTATAAAACAAGATGACCGGTTCCAGCATCGTGACGTTTGGAACAGTTGAATCATAAAAGCTACGTGGGTAGGCGATCACTGTTAATTTATATAATACACTAACATTTGTAAGTAATATCTTGACGCCGTTTAGTTTATTTATTATGCACCCCATACCTATTCTGTGGGCGGTAGTAGAAAGGGTTACAGAGGTACGTAATGGGCTCAGGGACTCAACCCCACAATTCCCCTGGCATCGACTAGGGGCCTGATGGCTGAGTATACATCGCTTGGAACTTGTAATCTTATGGCCCGGGGATTGATTCCCCGGCGATGGCGGAAACAAATGGGCAGTTTCTTTCACCTTGATGCCCCTGTTACCCAGCAGTAAATAAGTACCTGGGAGTTAGCTATTACGGGCTGTTACCTGTGTGTGTGTGTGTGTGTGTGTGTGTGTGTGTGTGTGTGTGAAAAAAAGTTGATTAACAGTTGAGAGGTGGGCCGAAAGAGCCAGAGCTCAACCCCCGCAAGCACAGCTAGGTGAATACAATTCATTTAGCTAAGCAAGTTGCAATCTTGATGAGCTAGTTACAAAATTCAACTCATCGTCACATCATCAGTGGGTTCGAGACCGACCACAAATACAGTTTCTAAATTAAGGAACTGACATGTGGTTGTCACAATTGATATGTTTGTCCTGCACACCGCCCCCCCATCCAGTGGGCAGCGGTGGATAAGTTAGTCACTTAGTTACTACCTACAGTTAGCAAACTGGGGATATTTGGCCAAGACTTCTGACAGCAGCAGATCATTTTGAATTAAATATTTACACATCTCTTGAACATTTGTCATAGAATTGTCTCTGAATTCAAGTATCTTTTCGCACTCCATCACATAGTGACGGAGGGTGTGCGAATACTTTTTGTTGACAGATTTTTATTGACACAATTTTTCTTGACCCCCGAATGATGACTTCGTTTTATATTTTGTGCCTCAAAAGAAAGGCCTGTTATATCACAGAGCACTAAACTTAGTCTTCAAACTTTCCTTCCTCAAAGCTGCCGTTGGAAATGTGGCTGAGGAGCTTAGGCTATTTCTACCCCCTTCTACTTCAAGTCCCTCAAGGGGCGCACAAATTCAGTGAGTACAAATAGAGAAATCACAATACAAGAATCCCATTTAACATTGCAGGTTAAAATAGGAAGCTAAAAACTTAGCTTTCCATTGAAGTTAAACAAATTTTTTCCTTAATTCAGTCGTGGTTATAATTTCATAATGTTAAGATAATTCGTAAGTCTGTAAACGATAATTTCAAGTACAGTATTGAAATTTAAATTTTAATGTAATTATATTAAAGCAAATTCTGACAGTACAACCTGTTCTCTCAAATAATACATTGTATTCTGACGACAAAATCTCCATCGGATAGTGTAGTGTGTCAAGGTCAACCTGTAGTTTTTTGCAGTCCGCTGTATTGATCTACTTCATATTTCTTGCGTCATTATCAAGTAATAACAGGAGACAGAGACAGACACAGAGAGAGAGAGAGAGAGAGTTTTTTAGTACATAAAATTTAGTACTAAAAATTTTAGTACAAAAGTACATAAATTAGGAATAAATTGGTCCAGTAGTCCCCGGAAACTATGAGAGCGCGTCTAAGTAACTATGTATGTAAATTGTATTTATATATTCATAAATGTATCACTTTATGTACACATGTGTGCTCGTCCGGATATAATATACTTTTGTTTTAGTGCATTCTGCCGCCGAAGGATTTATCCACTGCTAATTTTTTTAATAAAAATAATATCTCAAGAAAATATACACTGGTTATATTACATTGTATTCACAATGTAATATAATTTCGGATTTCGGGAAATCTAAAAACTAACAATTGGGCACGTCTTAAAAATTATGTATGCTCATTCAATAAAGTTGAGTTTTGTTTATATTTTATATATGACAATTGAAGTTTAATTTGCTATGAATATAGGAATTCTCGTTCTGGTCTATTCTCTATCTGGGTATTCTTAATCTATTTGATTACGTATTACATGAAAATAAATCCACCAATGTATTTTCAGTGTTACGTGTTAACTTCTTAGTAGTTATCCATATGTGAACTTATTTTCTGTTCAATATTTACTGTGTCGGGATAACTTTATTAATATTTGACAAAAAAAATCAAGGTCGTCAGAAGCAAACAACACGGTGACTGATTGATTGATAAAGATTAAGCCACTCAAGAGGTGGCACGGGCATGAATAGCCCGTAAGTGATATAATTTTTTGTTCAATAATTCTTTTCAGTGTTCTGAGGTCGCATTTAATCGTCAAGCTGCTATCGTGGGGGAGGATACTGCTCGACAGTCTTTATGAGGCTGTCCAGCTGCTGGACATAATTTTTAATTCAGACCATCTCAAATATTTAGCTAACTCTCCATGTGGTTTCAGGAGCCTGGTTGCTCCTGGTAACGGATTGGTTTAGAGAACGGGCTCCAATTTGCGCTATTATAATACTTAATGTTTCTATGCTCCCATGAGAGCCACACACCCTGCGGGAAATTCAAAGACACAACCTCACTTATAATAATTTTCATGATAATAATTCAGTGTCGGGGGAACAGGAAGCCAGGGTGTATTCATACACGTTTGGCTTTTATCGAGCTCCAAAGCAAAGCCGAATTACCGACCCCGCCCAGGATACACCCCCACAAGCTAACTCCTGAGTACCTACTCGCTGCTAGGTGAACAGAGGCATTAGTTGAAAGGAAATGTGCCCAACCATTTTTGTCCAGCACGGGATTCGAACCCGGAATTCTCGATTGTGCGTTGAGAACGAACCCGACTGTACTACCGGGACCCTTAAATAACTAAATATATTACTACACTATTTAAATCCGGTTTACAGCATTGTTCTCTGCCTTGCCAGACCTTTCATAATGGCTATGTAAATTACATTATTTTATGTTATAGAAATATATTTATATCTAGCTATATGATATAGTTAGATATAAGTTTGTTAATGTAAACTATACGAAGGCTCGCACAGGCCACATCAGCGACTACAACGCGTAAAGCTAAGTGATCCAGTTTACTGTAATGTTTGTTTACGCCAAGTATACAATGTGCGGTATAATTACGCTTGTGTATATATACACAAACATTATACAAGCATGCAAATAACGACGTCATGATTCATAGTTCAAACATGTAGGATAGTGTTGACATGGCCATTGAATACTGGTGTGGGCGTAGGCGCGGGAAGGTGGGTACACTGCCCACTTCTAGACAACGCTGCACTCCTTGTATTTATCTAGCATTTGTCTTAAGATAAAAGCGGCACTCGGATGCTTATCCGGAAACGGTTGTGTGAGGTAGAGGGCTTCCTATGTGCTGCTGCAGTCAAGGGCGGGGTCACTGAGTTTAGAAAGTGGGCGTGTCGGTGGCCGGTGGCACGAAGAACCTTATTTTTAGCCAGCAGATGACATTGTGGCCTGACCAGCCCCGCTCTGTGATGAAGCCGGATATCCTGTGTTGTTTCCCGAGAGGAGGCGTGTGGGTGTGGGCAATTTTGGCCGTGAGGAGGTGTAGTAAATGTGGCAGCCCGCGGCCCACCAGGCGGCTGTCGACCTCTCAGGCGTGTGCGAGTCTTCACTGCCAACACAACCGACCTACTTATCAAATTCCTCATATGAACTGTTTACCACCTCTAAAGTATGCTTTCGTTAGCACAAAGTGTGTTATAATGAAATTTAAGTGGATAAGATAGGCGTTATAACTGGAATTGAGGGTGTGAGAGTGTGGAGTGTGATAGGAGGTAAGTGTGGAGTGGGAGGGGTTGGCAGGCGTGTGGGGAGCGCGTCTGAGCGCATGCGTCACACAGGTGAACTCTAAAAGTAAAGTTTGAAAACATTGGTAGTGTGCGAGGGAATATTGCTCCGAACCCACCACTCTATTGCCATGAGAGGAAACCTTTAAGTGGATGCTTTAAACGAAGCCAGGAGGAGTGTTGTGTCGCGTGCTTGGTACAAGCAGAGGTGTGGTATTGACAATGGGAGAATCAGTAAGTGATTGTGAGTGGTTGCGCTTAGGTTTGTCAGGCATGGCTCTGTTTTCGATAAGTTAAGCCAAAGGAGATCGCGAGGAGTGCAGTCGAGTGTTGACATGACGTGATTTGTGGCGGCGTGGTGCTAATGTGTGGTGTGTGTGCTAAGGCAGCACCACTATGCTCAAGACTAGCTCCGGTGAGCCCAGCGGCGCGCGGCCTGCAAGTCTAGACCCCACAACCACCACCACCGCTGTCAGCGGGGAGAGAGGAGTTTGTGAAGATGGTGTCCACCAGGCTGCTGGTGGCAGTGATGCGGGGGTTGTGTTAGCTGGTTCAGACCACTGGTCGGGCCAGGTGGTGGAGGCTGTAGTGAGTGTGGGTAGTGAAGGGGGTATCACAGTACTGGGAGGCTCTGACAATGGAGAATTTCCCTACCTGGGTGAGATCAGTCAAGGTGTTAGATATCAAAAAGGAGGCCCATCTCTGGCTCCAGGAGCAATTCTGTTGGAGGTGCAGGGTCAGCGCATTGCAGGATATACACAACGCGATGTCGTGGCCTGGATCAACCACTGCACGCGCAACGGAAACCCTTGTGTTATTCGCACAGCTCCACCAGGTAAGTTCTGCTCTCATGTTGCAATACAGTCTATGACATTAAAACAGATTTTTGTTTGTGATCATAATTCTTCATATTTTTATGGTTCCTTATGCCTAGACTGTATGCTTTTGTATAATTTTATTTATATTTTCTGTATTTTATGTTCTTATTTAATTTTATATACAGTACAGTATTTATTTTTTTAAGTTTGTAAACTTGTAATGACAAATTGCCTAAAAATAAAAAAAACTGAGGGCACCTTTCAGCTTATTCATAGCTAAATAATAAATGCATTGCAATGTTCTAGGTATTTTTTTTATAATAAGTTCTTCAATACCGTACAGTAAAGTTTACTTATTCAATACGTTTCATGACCGAATGACAATAGGCACTCCCAGGTACCTTTTCATGGCTTATTAAATAGAAGCATCAGATGTAAGGAAATATGCCCAAACGTTTTTAACCTGACGGAGTATTTAACCTGGTACATGTTGGCTGGCTGCAGTGTCCACTGCTGAGTAGTACAAGAGTTTATGAATTAATCAAATTTGTCATACACTGTATGGTAGATCATAATTTATAGACAAGGAACATCAAATACTGTATGTAAATTCTTTAATACAATAAAAGAGAAATTGGCTGAATTGTAGTTTCTATATGAGAAAACTTGGCTTGTAGAATAATACATTTCTGCATATATATATATTCTGTAGACAACATAGGTTGGTTGTAAACTTCTTTGTGTGTGTTGGTATTGTGCTAAACAGGAAGAACTTGCTAATTGGGCAAGTTCTTATTTGTCAATGTTTGCTTTAAAAAGTATTTATTTTTTTTGCTAAAGGTAACCTAAAAAAAAACTTGTAGGCCTTAAAAAATTATATTTCATTTAGGCTATGTTCATTATTACTAAAATCAAGGATGTATGCTGGTTTTATCATTTCTGATATCATTCATGCAAAGTTTAATATCTTAAGTTTAATAGTAATATTTATAATTAAAGCATGCTTTGCATACATTTAACTTTTTGTGGAAATGAACAGTTGGGCATTACAGTATATTATTACAAAGGCAGACTGCATAGTCAATTCATTGTTTTGTTTTTCATTATATTCATAAAAATAATTACTCATCTCTAACAAAAAAGGTAAAAGGTTATTTTTTATACGAGCTTCAAACTACTAAAGGATATCGTACCATCTTAATTATATGTGTACATAGAGAAGTGCTAACATGAGAGTAGAGTTGTAGAGGACATTTTCCCCTAGCTTATATCCCAAATGTTTGAGAAAATGTTAATGGAAGATACATGAGATATGAGATTTTTTTGAGATATATACAAGAGTTGTTACATTCTTGTACATTCTTGTATATGAGGCCAATACTGTATTTATAAAGTGATAAAATGATAGAGGGTATGTTGACAGGTGGAAAGAGTGGTGAGGGGTGAGAAATATGAACAACTGTACAGTATTACAGAATTTGAATTACTAACAGAATAAGAAGGGTAGCAATGTAAAAATTTCCTTCACTGTTTCTATTTTAGTGTTTGATGGCTGCAGACTGTACACCACTAATATTTTCTTTGCTGATACAGTAAATTTAACATCTCTGAAGTTTATGAAGTATTGCCTCAGGATGTGACACAATCATTTTGGTGTTAACATTGCAAGCATAATTGCTTCTAAAGTTTCCATTTGTGTTTTGGGATGTTTCGCCTAAATAAAGGCAGTGTTTTCACAACTACTGGAGGGTATAATGTACACCCATGACGTGTTGATCTTGTTTAGCTTCTGATGAAGGCTTTTGATTGTAATAAATGTCTTGTCCCGAATGTATTTGCTGTACTATTGGCTTAACTGTTAAAATTGATAAAGCATTTATATACCAAGTAGAATGTAAAGATGGGGAGGGAGTATCAAATGTTATCACTGTATGGGAGTGTTGCCTAATTGCACTTTTTGTAATGCCTGTAATATGAATTAAAAATTAAGTTTGTGAAATTAAACTACAGCTTAGTCTGAACAGATATATACATTACTTACGTCTAATGAGATATTAACCAAAATGTGTAAGTGGACAATGTTATGGAAAATGCATAGTAGTTAGCCAGGTATACATGAATGAATTTTACCATTACAAAAAAAAAGACATTCTAGACCTGGTCTGGGATTTATTATATTCTAGATCTGGGTCTTGGGTTGTAGATGTATGGAACAAATTACTGGGTGATGTAAAAGGTACAGGATTGCTGGATTTTTTTAAGCATGTGTTAAATATTCCATTACTGTATTCAGTAATGGGTTTGGTTGCATGTAAATAGAAGCTGCCTTGCAAGGCCCCAAGAGGGCTTTCACAGTTTAAAATATTATATAATATTTATATATTTATAAAATATATATTTATAGTAATAATAAATTACCTAAGTGATTAACAGAAAACTGTTAATCACTTAGGTAATTAACAGTTTTTTGTGTTCTTATGTTCATATGAGTAGACCTAAATTATAATCCCCTTTTACACACTTGCACTGCATTCTTATAAACAACAACCCAGGATGGATTAGTCTTTCCGACCTGTTGTCGGTTCCGGGAATCAACGTCCCCGCTGCCTGGTCTCTGACCAGGCCTCCTGGTTGTGGTCTGGTCAACCAGACTGTTCGACGCAACTAATCACAGCTTGACGTATGTTTCACAGCTTGGTTGATCAGGTGTTGTTTGGAGATGTCTATCAAGTTCTTTCTTGAACATTGTGAGAGATTGGTTAATTATGCCTCTTATGTGTAGGAGTGTTGAAAGTCTTGGGTCTTTGATGATGTTAGATTGCCTAGAGTAATCCCAACAACCAGTTTAGCCCCTGCCCAGCGATTGGCATCTGACCTACAAATGTTCAGTGGCTTCTGTCTTGGGAACCACCGAAAAGTTGGATTTGATATTACATTTGACAAAGTCAAATGCTGTGGCATTATGTTTTGGTCTTCCAAACACATAATCAGAGTTTGGAGGACAATTGAAGGCCAAGTCCTTAATCTGCACCATAAAATAGTAGCACATTATAGTAAGAAAGATGGCAGAAAATGTGCGCACAAATTCAAAGATGTCTTCCAAAATTTTTAGTCCCCGTAGCGACTGTGGCTTGTTTGTACGAAATATGGAATACGAAGTATGTACGCGAGCGCTATGTCATGGGTTCGTATCCTGGCCGGGGAGGATTTACTGGGCGCAATTCCTTAACTGTAGCCTCTGTTTAACGCAACAGTAAAATGTGTACTTGAATGAAAAAACGATTCTTCGCGGCAGGGGATCGTATTCCAGGGACCATAGAGTTAAGGACTTGCCCGAAACGCTACGCGTACTAGTGGCTGTACAAGAATGTAACAACTCTTGTATATATCTCAAAAAAAAAAAAAAAAAAAAAAAAATGGACTACTGCACCTATTGTACTGTTGATTTTGTATGGGGTCCTAGAAAGAAGACAACATTTAAATCTAACTTCCTAGGCCTCGGATAGTATATATACTATACAAGGGTGTTGACCAGACCACACACTAGAAGGTGAAGGGACGACGACGTTTCGGTCCGTCCTAGACCATTCTCAAGTCGATTGTGAGAATGATCGACTCACAATCGACTTGAGAATGGTCCAGGAGGGACCGAAACGTCGTCGTCCCTTCACCTTCTAGTGTGTGGTCTGGTCAACATACTTCAGCCACGGTATTGTGACTCATCGCCTGCAAGGGTCCCGGTTGTACAGTCGGGTTCGTTATCGACGCGCAATCGAGAATTCCGGGTTCGAATTCCGGGCAGGACAGAAATGATTGTGCACGGTTCCTTTCACCTAATGCCTCTGTTCATCTAGCAGTAAGTAGGTACTCAGGAGTTAGTCAGTTTGTTGTGGGGTTGCATCCTGGGCGGGGTCAGTGACCTTGGGTAGGGGGGCTTCGATATTAGCCTAACGTGTATGAATACACTCTGGCTTCCTGTCCCCCCGACACAATAAATTATTATAATTATACAGTATATGTATTGGGCCTAAGATTGTGTATGATGTACCTAGATTGTTTATTTAGGACTAGGACATACGTTTATGGTTAGAATTCCTATACCACAAAACATGGACCATTTTTGGGTACAATTAACAGCATATATTTTGTATATTCCATAGTACAGTAGTTATAAGTACTATCTTTTTTGTAGGATGGGTTAACAAATATTGTACTGTAGCCAGCCCATCCTCCAAAAAATTATAATACACGTACCAACTGTTGGTCGGACGTACAAAGATTGACTGTTGTATACAAAAAAGTTAGCCTTTTGTACAATTGAAATATTTAAAACAGCATGATAAAAGGTGGAACAGTTTGTTTAGTTAATTTATTATGCACCCCATACCCATCTTGTGGGCGGTAGTGGAAAGAACATAACATAAGAACAAAGGTAACTGCAGAAGGCCTATTGGCCCATACGAGGCAGCTCCTATTCTATAACCACCCAATCCCACTCATATACTTGTCCAACCCGTGCTTGAAACAATCGAGGGACCCCACCTCCACAATGTTACGCGGCAATTGGTTCCACAAATCAACAACCCTGTTACTGAACCAGTATTTACCCAAGTCTTTCCTAAATCTAAACTTATCCAATTTATATCCATTGTTTCGTGTTCTGTCCTGTGTTGATACTTTTAATACCCTATTAATATCCCCCCGGTTATGTCCATTCATCCACTTGTAAACCTCTATCATGTCACCCCTAACTCTTCGCCTTTCCAGTGAATGCAACTTAAGCTTTGTTAATCTTTCTTCATATGAAAGATTTCTAATTTGGGGAATTAACTTAGTCATCCTACGCTGGACACGTTCAAGTGAATTTATATCCATTCTATAATATGGCGACCAAAACTGAACTGCATAATCTAAATGGGGCCTAACTAGAGCAAGATATAGCTTGAGAACCACACCAGGTGTCTTGTTACTAACGCTGCGATTAATAAATCCAAGTGTCCGATTTGCCTTATTACGA